GAGATCATAGGAATATCAATAGTCTGAAATGAGCAGAGAAAATTAAATGATAAAAATTAACCAGTTAAATTACCAATTCTGGAATTTCTAGAAATAAAAATCAGCGATGAACACAATAAAAAGCATACAAAGAAGAATAGGGAACAAAGCTTAATCCAATTAAGATGTGAAAATTTAATTTGATTAAATATGAATCTGGTCTTATATTTTATTTAGCTGAGTAGATAAACCACTAGCTAGCTATATAGAAGAAGAAAGAGATAGGAGAAACAAATATATCAAATACAAAATCACACACAAAAAAACCCAGAAGAATACATAAAGAAAATTGTGGAAAAGGCAATTAAGACAGGTTTACTTTGCTGTAGAAGTTTTAGAAATCCCTGCATGGTTTTTCCATAATACGCATAATGTCTCATCCCATTGAACAATGCAAGTCACAAACCTAAGTCCAGCATCAATAGGGTGGCGAAATATGCTTCTTCCATTGAGGCAGTGAGAGGAGAGAGTAAATGTACTGTTTATGAAGTAAATGTTGTTTCCATTAGGCTGGAGAGAAAATTGAATCTTACTATTTTGAATGATAGGCTGAATCTTTGTCTTCATTTTACCACTACTTTCTCCTACATATTTTCGGCCTTATATTAATACACCCAGTTTTGCCTAATAACTCCTCTCTTAAAATGTAGGCAAAATAAGTTAGGGAGTAATATAAATAATATGAACATCTTCATATTATCCTTAAAGGGGGGCCATGAAATATAATACTGAATCTGTCAAAATATTGGCTCATCTGCTCAGGCTTGTTGTCAGGAGAAAATATCCCCTCTGAGTCCCTTAGGCATGAAGACCATATATGCTTCATGCTTGTGTCCCTAGCATATAGCAGTGTCTGGTAGGCATGGGGTGCATGAGTAAGCAAAACCTTAAAGCAAGTGGGATTGTGACACAATGGTTGCTTCCTCTTGAGTTGCCTGCATTCCCTATCACAGTGCCTGGCTCGAGTCCCCCACACTCCACTTCCTTTTTCTTTTCCTTTTTAAAATTTATTTATTTGAAAGACAGAGTTACAGAGGGAAATGGAGAAGGAGAGGAACCGGGAGAAGGAAAGAGAGAGACAGAGAGAGAAAGAGCGAGAGATTCCATCCATTTATTATCTCCTCAAACAACTGGAATGGGTAGAACTAGCAAGTCCAAAGCCAGGAGCATCTTCTTGGGTGCAGGGGTCCAAGCACTAGTACCACCCTTACTGATTTTCCAAGCACATTAGCAGGAATCTGGATTGGAAGTGGAGCAGATAAAAAAATGAACCCCAATATGGGAGACCATCATCCGAGGCAGTGGCTTAACCTGCTATACCACAATATTACTCTCTCTCTTCTCCACTTCTGATCCAGATTACTGCTAATGTGTACTCTAGCAGGCAGCACATGATAGTTTATTTATCTTTTAAAAATTTTATTTAAGTTATACAAGTTTCATGTGTTTTTATACACAGATTTGGTAACAGTGATACTTCGCACTCTAGCCTCCCTCCTGCACATGCTCCAACCTTTCTTCATCCTCCCTCTCTCATTCTCAACATTAGTTTTTATAAAGATCTACTTTCAGTTTACTTAATGATAATAAAGGTAACCCTACACTAAGTTGAAAAGTTCAACAATTAGCATGAAGAAAAAACACTGTTCCTCAACAGAAGAGACAACGGCTGTAAACAATCATCAAATCTCAAAATGTCAATTTCATTCCAATACATTACATTTATTAGTTAGATCAGGGAAGACATGGCATCTTCGTTTTGGGACTGGCTTATTTCACTAAATACAATGATTTCCATAATGTCCATTTTGTTGCAACATGCAGAATTGCATTTTTTTCTTATGTTTAAGGATGAGTAGTACTCTCTAGTGTACATATACCATAATTTCTTTATCCAGTCAACAGTTGATGTACATCTGGGTTGACTCCATATCTTGGCTGTTGTGAATTATGCTACAATGAACATGGAAGCACATATAACTTTTCATATGCTGGCTTCTTTTGGTTTGGGTAAATTTGCTGGAATGATATGGCTCGTTCATATGGTAGGTCTATATTCAGATTCCTGGGGTATCTCCATACTATTTTCCAAAGTAGCTGTACCTGTTTGCCTTCCCACCAACAGTGGATTGGGGTGACATTTCCCCCACAACCTTGCCAGCATTTGTTGTTTGTTGATTTCTCTCCTTTTAAGATATTATTTATTTATTTCAGAGGTAGTTACAGACAGTGAGAGGGAGAGAGAGAGAGAGAAGTCTTCCATCCGCTGGTTCAATCCCCAAATGGCCACAATAGTTGGAGCTCCACCAATCCAAAGCCAGGAACCAGGTGCTTCTTTCCATTCTCCCATGCAGGTGCAGAGGCTCAATCAATTGGGCCATCTTCTCTGATTTCCCAGGCCACAGCGGAGAGCTAGATTAGAAGAGGAGCAGTCAGGACTAGAACTCATAGGGGATGCCATCACCACAGGCAGAGGACTAATCTACTGTGCCATAGCACTGGCCCCTTCTGTTGATTTTTTATGAGAGCCATTCTAACTGGAGTGAGGCAAAACCTCATTGTGGTTTTGATGTGCATTTCTCTGATTACTATTGATACTGAGCATTTTTGCAAGTGTCTGTAGAATATTTGAATTTCCTCTCTTGAAAAAGGCCTGTTCAAGTCCTTTGTCCATTTATTAACTATATTGTTTGTTTTGCTGATGTTGAATTTCTTGAGCTCTTTGTAGATTCTGGATATTAGCCCTTTATCAGTTGTATATCTCACAAATATTTTCTCCCATTCTGTCAGTTGTCACTTCACTTTGCTGAGTATTTCTTTTGCAGTGCAGAAGCTTCATAATTTGATGTAATACCATTTGTCAATATTGACTTTGATTGCCTGGCTAATGTGGTCTTTTCTAAGAAGACTTTCCCTATACCAATGTTTTGCAGAATTTCCCCAATGTTCTTTCTCAATAGAGGAAGAAGACCCAAATCAATAAAATCAGAAATGAAAAAGGAAATGTAACAGATATCACAGAAATAAAAAGTGTCAGCAGGGATTACTACAAAGTTGTATGCCATCAAATTAAGAAACCTAGAAGAAATGGATAGATTCCTGGACATATATAGTCCACCAAAATTGAGTCATGAAGACATAGAAAACCTAAACCAACTAATATCCAAGATGGAAATTGAATCATCAGTAAAGACCCTCCAAACAAAGAAAAGCCCAGGACCAGACTTCTTCACTGCTGAATTCTACCAGACATTTAAAGAAAAACTAATTGCAATTCTTCTCAAGATATTCAAAAGAATGGGAAGGGAGGGAATCCTTCCAAAGTCCTTCTAAGAAGCCTGCATCACCCTAATTCCTAAACCAGAAAAAGATACAACAGAGAAAGAGAACTATAGACCAATATCCATGATGAAAATGGATGCAAAAATCCTTAGGAAAATACTAGCTAATTGAATCCAACAACACATCTGAAAGATCATTCACACAGACCAAGTGGGATTTATCCCTAGTATGCAGCGATGATTCAACATTCACAAATTCAATATTCACAAATTTCACAATATTCACAATATTCACAAATCAATAAATGGGATACGTCACATTAACAAACTGAAGGAAAAAAAACCACATGGTTATCTCAATAGATATAGAGAAAGCATTTGATAAAATACTATATCCTTTCTGGATGAAACCATAAGCAAACTGGGTATAGAAAGAACATTCCTCAACACAATCATGGCAATATATGACAAACCCACGTTCAGCATTCTATTGAATGTGGAAAAGCTGGAAGCATTCCCCCTAAGATCTGGAACCAGACAAGACTGCCCACTTTCACCATTGCTATATAGTCCTGGAAGCTTTGTTCAGAACCATTAGGCAAGAAAAATAGATCAAAGGGATACAAATTGAGCAGGAAAAAGTCAAACTATCTCTATTTGCAGATGAGATGATTCTATATATAGGGGATTCAAAGGACTCCAGTGAGAGACTATTGGAACTCATAAAAGAATTTGGTAAAGTGGTAGGATATAAAATCAACACATAAAAAAAATCAATTGTCTTTATTTACACAACAGGTGATAGTTCAAATACTTGAGTTCCTGACTATCATGTGACAAACCTGATTGAGTTCTGGGCTTTTGACGTTGGTCTGCCCCAACCTTGCCTGTTGCAGACGTTTGGGGAGTGAACCATTGGATGGAATATTTTTCTGTGTTTCTGTCTGTGTCTCTCTTTCAAATGAAATGAAATAAAATTAAAATAAAAATTTTTAAAAACACACAAATAACATCTTGCATTGGGGATAGAACAGAGATATAAAAGGAAAGGTCAATGAAAATGGGGTCATTCCAAATAAATAAGCAGTAGACAATAGGGGCCACATGTTCAGCATTAAGAAAGAATTTTCTGTTTATGACTGTTATTTTCAGATTCACCATTATCTGGAAAGATTCACAAAGAAACAAATATATGCAATTACCTGTAAGAGAGCTATTCTGAAAATCACATATAATGAGAGCATTATAATTACAGGCTCTGCAGGCTCAATTCTGAAGGAGCTGAGGATAGCAGAATATTAGGGTCCCATAGAAACATATTGTGATCAAGCAGTGTAGAAAACACACACCTTTCACCTTACCTTTGAAAACATACCTATGTATCTAAGGGAGGCTATGACATAGAACACGTAGAACACAGACTCCAGGGTCAGAATGCATGTGTTAGTCAAAGACTAATTTTGACACTGAATTGCTATGCAATGCTGGCAACTCATTTGTCCTCAATGTTTCTGCTTGCAAGCCTCTATAAAGGAGATGTCACTATGGAATACTTACTCTTCTTAAGAAGATTGTTATGAGAATCAAACAGTAGTACAACTTAACAGTTATGGAATGCACACTAAATTCTAGGATAATTCTTTGTATTTATCATGCACTATCTCTTTTCCTTTGCACAAGAATACCATGGCATAGATACTGCTATTGCCCATCCAAATAAACAGAAGCACTTACCCAAGATCCCAGAGTAAGCAAGTTCCACAGCTGGGATAAAGATCAGTATTCAGGTTGCAGGCTCTGACATCCTCACTGCTTCTCCATTGTTTCTCTCTGGGTGCTTAATACACACAAAAGGTCAGTGTGAGTACAGTCATAGTCAGTTTGTAGTATTTCTACAAATTTTTTCTATACTATTGGTGATCAATTGGATCTAGCAAACAACAAGATTAAATGACAATGGTATCACTGATAATTTTACTATTTAATAATAATATCTGAATTTATATTTTCTATACCAGGCACTCTGCTGAACGTTTTACTTGACCTATCTCATTTTATTGTATAGTACATAGTATAGTATAATGTGTTTATAAAGTAACAATAAATATGTAACGGAACAACAGTAACATTAGTACATAGCCAAAAATTTAATTTAAATTTTTGTATATTAGGTCATTTAATTGTTATGGAGAGTCTATGTGTATGCACTTTTAACAACCACTGTTTACAAATGAGCCTGAAGCACAGATAAGTTAAGTAATGTATCTAAGGTCACACAGCTAGTAAATGGCAGATATAATATTTAGATGGTTTAGATGGTGAGGGGAGGCCGGTGCCGCGGCTCACTAGGCTAATCCTCCACCTTGCGGCGCCGGCACACCGGGTTCTAGTCCCGGTCGGGGTGCCGGATTCTGTCCCGGTTGCCCCTCTTCCAGGCCAGCTCTCTGCTGTGGCCTGGGAAGGCAGTGGAGGATGGCCCAAGTCCTTGGGCCCTGCACCCCATGGGAGACCAGGATAAGTACCTGGCTCCTGCCATCGGATCCGTGCGGTGCGCCGGCTGCAGCGCGCTGGCCGTGGCGGCCATTGGAGGGTGAACCAACGGCAAAGGAAGACCTTTCTCTCTGTCTCTCTCTCTCACTGTCAACTCTGCCTGTCAAAAAAAAAAAAAAAAGATGGTGAGGGGAGAAAAACACAGAGAGAGAGAGAGTGAGAGATCTCATTCACTGATTTACTTCCCAAATGTCTTTTTTTTTTTTATTTGACAGGTAGAGTTATAGACAGGGAGAGAGACAGATAGAAAAGTCTTCCTTCCATTGGTCCACCCCCGAAATGGCCGCCACTGCCGACCCGAAGCCAGGAGCCAGGTGCTTCCTCCTGGTCTCCCATGCGGGTGCAGGGGCCCAAGCACTTGGGCCATCCTCCACTGCCCTCCCAGGCCACAGCAGAGAGCTAAACAGGAAAAAGAGCAGCCTGGACTAGAACCCGGTGCCCATAGGGGATGCCGGGGCCACAGGCGGAGGATTAACTAAGCGAGCCACGGTGCCGACCCCCTTTTCCTTTTTTTAACAGCAGCTGCTGGGCCAGGACAAAGCCAGGAGGTGAGAAGTCAATCCAGGTCTCCCAGATGGGTGCAGGGACCCAATTACTGCCTCCCAGGGTGCACATATTCAGAAAGCTAGAATCAGAGCAGAGTTCGAGACCTGTACCCAGTCATACCTGTGTGGAATGTAGGCATCTCAAGCAGCACTTGAACTGTTGCATCAAATGGCCATAGTTGTACACTTGTAAGCATCTGGAATTACCTCTTCATGGAGAGGCTCTGGTCAGGCAGATTAATGAATATGTCCAGGGATGTAGAAGTTAAAGTTGTGATGAGTCAGTTATAAAGTAGACTTAAAACTGGTGCCTGTCATTTAATGAAGGTGTCAAATGGATCATGCATAAACTCAATGACATACATTGTCACCACCTGAAGAGTGCAGGTAGGAGCAAGACTCATGGGTTCAAATCATTCTCTTTGTGCAAGTACTCATTGAGCACTGATGGCTGCCAAACACTGGGCCGCCCGCAGCTGAATCAGTAGAGGGCATGACAGATGTGGCCCCTGTCCTATTTGTTTCACAGGCATTCTACAAATGATTCCAGGTTCAATGACAGCCATGAGTCACTGTGCACAGTTGCTCTGGGATATGTAGCAGGTGACCAGGTGTAAGATAGGGGTCAGGGAAAGACCACAAATAAGAAAGAATGTTGATAGAAGCCCTTTAAAATAACATCTTTGTGTACAGATTAAATGAGGATATCTATGTTAAACCACTTTAGAAAAACTAGTGCGACATCACTATAAATGTAAGGAAGTGCAATTGCCAAGCATAGTATTTTTTTTTGGCTGAACACAGTGATGCGATAATAAAATGCAAAGATTAGAACATCCATCCTACTGCCATTTTTAAATTAGTTAAATAATTACCCTAGAAAATAATCTGTTTCAATGGGTTTATTTTATTATTGAAGTAATATGGTTGCTTAATGCAATTACTGCCACCAGGTCATATAACTCACTGTGGTTCCTAATTCAATTGAGTATAACATCTTATTTGTACAAGGATGTATTTCTAAGCCCTTTGTAAAATTTGCTGTCATATCTTCTTTATCCAAGTCCTTCTTAAAATATTTTTATTATTTTTTCTACAATAGTAATACCAAATTTCTGCCCATAAAGGCAGAATTGGTGGAATATGTCAAGTTTTTGACAACAGACAATGTTGAAGCAATGCCCAATCTCAACGTGAGGAAAAAGCTTCAGAATGGAGGAACAGCAGAAGTGGAGTGGAAACTTTATACCGAAGCTCAGTAGAAATCCCAGTCTCCTTAGGCATGAGATGGAGGAACCATTGCAAAGAAGAGGAAACCTAAAATGGCTCTCCACATTTGGAAGTGAGTAACCCTGTGCCAACTTCATGTTTTTCTTTCACGTTCTAATTCCTATTTATAAACTACTAGGGTCCTGTATCTTCACCTCTTTATGGGGCAGACACACACACACACACACACACACACATCCTGCATGTATCTTAGTTTGCCCCCAGACAGTGTTTACCTTTTGTGCAAAATATTCATTTGCTTTCTTCTGTCTCACTCTCCAAAACTCAGACCCAAGAATGTGCATCTTGCAAAAAGAGAAATGGAATTATACTTTGTTAAGTATCATCCACTGTGCTCTGTGACTTCCATCTAGTATTTAATTTAATTATCACAATTGTAATAAATACAATAATTCCCCTATTTTATGAATGGATTGACTGATGACATTCATAAGCAGATGTTTCTCCTACGGTCACAAATTTGGTAACATAATACCAACTTGAACTATCTGAGTTAAAATACCATCTCCTTCTCATTCCAGGAGGATGCTTTCTCGTATTCGTCAGAATAACATGGATGTTGAAAAAGACACAAATGAAGAAATTGTGTGCAACCTATGACTGTCACTTCTTATTATATGAGACATCTATAATACTATGTTGGCCACAGTTCATGATGTTCCTATGTAGTGGTCAATACATTTATAAATGTGGAACTGAAATTTCTTCTGGAAATAAAATATACCTCAAGAACAAATTGAGCAAAAAGGTATTTATGGTGTTGAAATATATGAATACAAACTGGACACATATTGAATACTTTGAACTTTAAATGACAAAGCATATCCACATAGCAAACCACACACAGACAAGGAAATTACTTTAAAAATTTGCAAAGCCACAATCCATCAAATAGCATATGCCAGGAAATATATAGATATACTTAGGAAAAATAGATAGTTCTCAGTAAAACTCCATCTGGTGTTCTGGAACCCATTCTAGGTCATTTTTATTAATCTCAACATTGCAAAATGGATAGTAAATTTATTTTAGGGCCTTTACTGCAGTCCATGGAGGGGTTTTTCAGGCTGTGAGGAAGGGCTTCCATGTAGCTAGATACCAATAGTCACAAACTGCAATGAAAACTCACTAAATCAAAGTTCTGTTCAATGGTGTTGCTTTCTTCCATCTGTTTCTTATTGATAACAATGGCTTATGATGTATATTAAAACCACAAAAATTGAAATTTCTTTTTTTCTTTTGAAATATTGCATCTTCAACACTAGATTGAAATTATTCTTTAAGTATGCTTGTTAACTGGGATTCAACATTTAGAGAGCTGAGATGTTGTTTCCTAGATACCATGTAGCTACACTCAACAAGCATTTTAATTCTTGCCCCACTTTTTTTAGAAGCTCAGCAAATATAAGGTTGAAAATTTTCTTGAAGTCTTTGTTAACCCACAAGTAAATTTGCATGACAACACATCTGTGCACTTTCTCTATTGTCTATATTCTGAGCTTTTCTTGGACAGATACATGTATACTTTCTGTGCAAGTTATATAAGTGTTCTACTATATATCTAACATAGCATGAAAACATTTAAGAAATACTTAGATTTTTTTTAACGATTTTACTTTTTTTTGAGTGGCAGATTTACAGATAGAGGGAGAGACCGACGGTCTCGTATCTGCTGGTTCACTTCCCAAATGGCTGCAAAGACTGGAGCTGGGCCAAACCAAAGCCAGTAGCCAGGAGCTTTCTCCACGGCTCTCATGTGGGTACAGGGGCCCAAGCACTTGGGCTATCTTCCATTGCTTTCCGAGGCCACAGCCAGAGAGCTGGATTGGAAGAGGAGCAACTGAAACAGGAACCCATGCCCATATGGCATGCAGGTGTTGCAGGAGGAAGCTTAGCCTACAATCCCACAAAGCTGGCCTAAAACTTAGATTTTTAAATGTGTGTTCTGGTTCTAAATTTTGTTTTAGTTGATGTACAGGTGCATATCTATTTGTAACATCAAACTTTGAGATTGCACGGATATAGTCTGGCTTAGTACAAGAATGTGTTTGGGGTAGCTGTGAGAATACGGTGAATTCTAAAGCCTTATCTTAATATCTTAATGAGTTTGGGGATTTTACAGAAAAACCTCTAGGCCTATCCATTTAATTGGCAAGAAAGACGATACTAAGGTCAATCCTCGCTGACTGGTATAGATATTGTTTATGTGCTTCATGGAAGCAGCGTCTTTACTCTTGTTACTGATGTAACCTCATAATCTAACACAGATTAGGAATTCAGCCCTTATTAATTTGCATAAGGTTTAAGTGGCAAATATATAGGCACCAATGGGCACACCCAGTTGATTAGGCTCTGCAGTTGAGATGGAGCCAACTATCATATCTCATTACCCTGCTATTCTTTCTTACACTTTATTTGATGCCATTTGTTTTACTTCTGATATTTATTTCTTAGAAGTTAGATTCTAGAGTAAGTTTATAGAGCCTAAGGTTGAGCAGGGATCATGAAAGGATTATATGAAGAGTAACTGCTTATCAGCTATGACTAGATCACCACCTATCTTTAAAACCCTCATATGCCATGTGTATGGACGTGTTGTAACATAGCAAGTCAAAAAGTTTATGGAGGTGGCATCGCTAATCTGACTTATCATTACATATCACAAAGATGTATTGGATTATCACTCCACATCTCACAAATACAATTAAAATAGTAATACAAATATAAAAAGAAAAGATCAAAAAAGCTTACGGGCATAGTTAATATTTGGTAGAATTTTATGAGATAAATCATAGCGTATGATAAGATACACAAAGGCTTCAAAATGTTCACAGAAAAAAATGAAATTGAAACAAGTTTATTTTGGTGCAAAATTCTTGAAATCCATGCATAGTTTCATATACATTTTCCATGAAAATTTGAGTTTTATATGCATAGTCTTCAAAAAATGCTTGCAACAACGTAAATACATTTTCCAATTTCATTTTCCATAATCTTTTTGAAGCACTTTCATATTTGCTACAAACATAGCATAAATGTATTAGTATTTAAAATACATAATTTCCAACATTCAAAACAAAAAGACAAAATACTGATGTCTAAGGTGGACAATTAAATTGAATAGGTCTTTTAATTAACAGAATGACAATAAACATATTGACAACAAAGATACTCAATTTCATTAGTTTTGTTTTAATTACAATGAGGCAATTTCTAATTCACTGATTGACAAGAATCCATAAGTCCCAAAAAGCATTAACAATTAGAACAAGAAAATATTGACACAGTGTTGAAAACAACGAAAATTTCCCAAATCTTTTACAAAGGATGTTTAGGTTATTTAGTAACACTGAAGATGCACATGTTGTGCCCTGCAACTCAACTGCTGGGAAACATAGAGAAATTTTTACTCTGTGTACCAGAAACGTGCAAATATTTTCCTACGCAATAGCTGCAAAAAAAGACTCAAGTGTCTGAGAAGTGAAATTAAACACCTATAATTCAATGCCTAAAGGAGTAAAAGAGAATGAATAAGGCATGTATAACATCATGTTCAATTCTCATGATAAAATGTTGAGTGAAAATACTAAGTTGTTAGAAAAATACAAACACACTTACATCCCTCTTGTGTAGAATTTAAAAGCACAAACAACAAAATATAAATTCTGCACATATTATGGAAGCCATAAGAAAATAGAATATATGGAAATAAAACTGTAGCAGATGCAGCAAATGAAATTTGAGACGTTAAGCCTAAGATTCAGAATCAAACATACTATCCTCTTTCTTAAGTATTGGGAGTTGGCATACTTAGGCATTTGTGGGGAGCAACTGGGAGCAACTCGGACTAGACTAAGTTACTGGAATTAAGACTTATTCTATGCATCTGCTCTCCCACAATGGCACTGGGAGAGGAGGAAACAGCTTCTACACAGCTGCCTCCAGTTCAACCAATAAACTGTAGGACCTGCTCCTGATTGGAGGAGAGCAGCGTGCTCGGCGTGTGGGCAGCAGAGTTGGGATTGGCGGAAGAGGACTATAAAGGAGGAGAGAGACAACATGCACCAGGAACATCTATCCGAAGGAACACCTGTGCAGCCCCCGAGAGAGCCGGCCGGCGGTGTGCCGCTCCCCCGCGGAAGTGGGGAAAGTGGCCAGGGGGAACCGCCCTTCCACGGAGGTGGAAGGGTCGGTAGCCAACCCGGGAAGAACCAGCAGCAAACCCGGGGAGGGCCGAGCAGACAAAAGAACAGCGCAGGGTCCTGTGTCGTTCCTCCACGAAGAGGCGGAGCGACAGGCATTGTTCATCATTTTTTTACATTACACATATTTAAAATCATTATTTCATATATGTTAAATACATAATATAAATTTAACAGAACACTAAAAAATATGTATGAAAGAGACAAAAGAAGAACAAAGGCTGTGCTTGGCGATTTCTTAGTTTGACTACACACTTACTGATGCCTGATTAGTGATTGTCTAGAACCAATTATTAGAACAGGCGTTATTCAAAAAAGAAACGAAGTCAAAAATTGGTGAAGAAGAGCACACAAGAGATTGGGCGTCAAGGAGGAAGGTAAGACAAAGAAAAGGAAAAACAGAGTGATAAAAAGAAGAAAATGAAGAATTTTAGAGGGGGAAGAAAATGAAAGCTTGTGAAAGATTCATTGTATGCCAAACATTGCATTACAATAATTTCACATGATTTCTTTACCTTCAAATCAGGATATATTTATTTACCATTTAAACATGGGGGGCAAATATTGATGAAATTAAATATCCAAATATCAAGAAAGGAGGAAGAAAAGAAGGGGTTGTAGGAAAAAAGGGGGAAAATAATGGGAGAAGTAAATATCGAAGAAAGGAATGAAGGAAGCCAATAAAATAAACGATAAACTTAATTGAAGTAGTCAAAGGGATTCGCTAAAATGCCATTTTTCCTCAGCAATATTTAAGAAAATGTAATTTAAAAAATTCTTTTTAAGATTAAAGGAGAAATGACTTGAACAAATAAACCCTTAAGGAGAACACCCATTCAGCACATCTGCAGGGGGCAAACACACCACGAATTTCATTTCTGTGCTTTGAACCCAATGAGAGAAATATGGTCAAACATCCAGCTAGAGAACAAAGACTGCTCAACGTGTAAACCCTTTTCATAGTGTCGTCCAGTTAACCAAAACTTTCAACATACTTGTTTTAAAGATTTTATTTATTTATTTGAAAGGCAGAGTTACAGAGCAGCAGAGGCAGAGAGAGAGAGAGAGAGAGAGAGAGAGAGAGACATCTCCCATGTGCTGGTTCACTCTCCAGATGACTGCAGAGGCCAGAGCTGTGCCGATCTGAAGCCAGGAGTCAAGAGCTTCTTCTAGGTCTCTCATGCATGTTCAGGGGCCCAGGACTTGAGCCATCTTTCACAGCTTTCCCAGGCTGTAGCAGAGAGCTGGATTGGAAGTGGAACAGCTGGGACTCAAACCGGCACCTATATGGGATATTGGCATTGCAGGCAGCGGCTTTACCTACTATGCCACAGCATGAGCCCTGCAACACACTTTTAAGCATAACTAATCTCAGGGGATGAAGTGGGGTAATGATCTTATCTGAAAGACAAGACTAGTAAAGTTAATGGTGCCAAGTTAAGTTTTTGACATTAGTGGCTACGGTGGATGAGAGCCACACAAACCCTTTTCTGTATTTTCCTATTCTTCATGTTTCATCTCTGGATTTTTCCCTTGGGTATAAATACATTATCATTTTATATGTACAAGAACTTACTAAGTTGATAGAGATTTAAGAACACATTAATGTTGCTAAAATTCTGTTGCATCTGCTAATTATATTAATATGTGTTCCATAGGAGGGGCAAGTGTGTGAATATTCAAAAAGAAAGAAAAAGGGATATGGCAAAGCAAAGCATGTAGCTGAAGATTTGTTCAATTTCAGTTTTCACCACTGGTGTTGACGTCAGTATATTCTGCTTCAAATTAGCTCATGCAGTTGATGAAAGAATGAGTCACAATGCTGGGTTTGATGGAGAGATAATGACTTGCATTTGGGGATGGAAATTTTGAAATCAAATGTGAGGAGAAACATTGTCCTTTGCAGATTAGCCCCAGTGTGGGGCCACGGGTCATCATAATTTTTCCTTGTGGCGCTGTTGGTTTAATCAGCATTCTACAACAGTAAAAATTAACTTCTTTTAGTACTCTTTCACAGTTGCTTTGAAACAGGCATTTGAACTTTTAAAATGTTAGGTTCATTATCAGATTCTTTCAATAGGCACATTCTCAATATCTGATTTTTTTGTTAGCTATAAATCCGTCTATGTAAACATAAGTAACATGTAGCCTCTCCTCTGGAGAGTTCTGGGAATGCAAATACAGCTAAATGGATCAAAAAGTAGTAAGAACTGCAAGGGGGAGATGAAAGAAAACATACACAGAGGAGCAAGGAGGTGTGCCTAATTTTTCCTATGAGACTTAGGGGCAGGTACAGGTAAGAGGAGGCCCTGAAATGTCCTATTAAGAACCAAAAATACCTGTCTTTGAAGGCCACATTTAATTGTATCCATCT